GTTTTACAACCTGAAAAAACACAATGTCACATGTACAGACATGTATATTAATCAAATCCCACTAAGCAGTCCTTACCTTTAAATCTAACCTCTCCTCTTCCTCTCCTGTCCTGTGTGTCGACCTTGTTCTCATTCGACAGCGTAACATACCGACGATTTGTCACATCCCGAGGCGTTCCTCAGGCACGCGAAAGTTAACCTTCTGCGTTCCTATGATATGCACCGGGTTGTGGATGGAAAGCAATAGATTGGCGCTGCCGGCAGTAATACACGTACCAATGTGTATTCCAGCTCTGACCATAACCTTATCCCTAACACAAGCACCACCTTAATCATGTTAGATAGTGTTTTCCAAAACGATTACAGTAAACGTATAAACGTACATGTGTAGATTCATTCCAAACGGTTCTCATGTTTCGTAATTTTTCTGAACTCGTAATATAGTGACGTGTTGGGTGGCGGAAAGCGTAACATACTGAAGATTTGTCATCTAGCACAAGCGTCAACAACCTTTAACACCCAAAGAGCCATTTGGACCCAGTTTCTAAGGAAAAGAAAACACTGGGAGCCGTAAATACTTTTTAACATCTAAAATGAAGATAACACTGTGTATATTGTTTTTTTTAACCTTTATGCTTTGTATAAACAACTATAGTGTGTTGCTTATGAAATCCATGAAGTGCTAAAGAGAAAATGTAATTTTATTTATGTAATGAATACATTTTCAACTCTTAAAAAATAATAACAAAAAAGAAAGACAACCAGTTGAAGGTCTCTTTTAAATGAATTAAAAAGCTAAACTTAATCATGTCGCAAACAAAAACTGTTGTCAGCTGTCATCCTTATATCGCCTTTGGGCTTTCGGAGCATAGGGGAGCCTTGACCTGAATTTAGAAAATAATTGGAAAACAGCACTATGCTCCTAAAAAATTCAAAATAAATATTTGCAAAATATCTGCATAATATTTATTTTACCTGGTTAATGTGTGTCGCAGGGTGTGGCCTGCAGGAGAGGCACACGCACCTGAGCGGCATCCACAATCACGCCTCGCCGACTTAAGTCTGTTGTTTGTATGTATCGGGCTGTGAGCTGGAAAGCTACAGCCGGCTGTGTGTTTGTGTGAAAAGTGGTCAATAAAGAGATGCTGAAGAGCATGCTAATGCAAACATCGTCGGCTCTGCCGTGATATGTTTACAATGGGACTACAAACTTCAACTGTAATACATTCTAGTACATTATCAATCACCATCGTCATCTTTTCCACCACATTAAATTTCAAGGATTTGTCCACATACAAGGCCGCTCCTCCTCCTCCTTTGTTTCGCCTAGTTATAAATGTGACATCATAACCCTCCAGTTCAAAGTCTGTTCCTTTTCCATATTGATCCAAGTTTCTGATAAGGCAATGACAGTAAATGGATGTGAAAACTGGTTAAGATATTCTTTGATATGATTAAAATTAGCATAGAGACTTCTACAGTTAAAGTGGATAATTGAGAATTTATTCTTAGTTTTAATCCTCAGATTGTAGTCTTTATTTGTATAGTAGCAGCATTGTTATTGTTAGATGACAAGAAGTTGTTGTCTGGATCTTTTTTATATTCCAAGTCCTGTGTATTGTGATCCATATAGTTAAATGTTTTCAGTTTCAATTGATCATATTCTGCAACTGTCTGACTGATGCAGCTGTTTCTTCCAGATGTTTGAGTTCTTCCTTCCAGTGTGTGTCATAAGTGAGTGTGTGGTTGTCTGTTACCTTGTTTGTCGTCCAGATCGTGTTGCTCACTGATATTTTTCGACATCTGCCATGTTTTTAATGGTCAGAACTTTGGCTTCATCTGGTGATCCGTTTAGTTTAATGAATATTTTTCAGTTCGTCGTCCAAGTGCTTTGAATTTTTCCCAGCTTCTTAAGGTGTCGCGCTTTTTT